ACAGACACTCTTGAGTTTCATTCTGAGGGTTTAAGGCTGAATTTGGGTGTGCCACAATTATCAACAACACAACCTCTATCAGTCACGCCACAGGGCTTAAAGAGAGGTGTAGTCAAGTACACTAGCACTCAAAAGTTTGGGGTCGGTAAGATTTTGTTTAATGTTTTTGAAACGGGTCTCTCGTGCTGTTTTCACACAGTGAAAACAGCAATATTATGAATTATTACATTTTAAATAATACATTCCTGTGATCAAAGCTGAATTTTCAGCATTATTATGCCACTTGTCAAATGATCCTTCAGAAATCAGTCTTAAAAAGCATTTCTAATTATTATCAATGTTAAAAACAGTTGTGCTGCTTTATAATTTTGTGAAACCATAACACAATATTTTCAGGATTCTTTAATGAACAGAAAGTTCAAAAGGACAGTGTTTATTTTAAATACAAATTGTAAATGTCGTTACTGTCACTTTCGATCAGTTTAATGTGTTTTTGCTGAGGTAAAATGATTAAGTGTTGTTAATCTAATTTTTAAAGGTTTAGTTTTGTCATTTTGCTGAATTTCCTCTTTTACAGGAAGGAGAGGTTTATGCCATCGAGACCTTTGGCAGCACTGGGAAAGGCATGGTGCATGATGACATGGAGTGTTCCCATTACATGAAAAACTTTGAAGTTGGTCATGTGCCAATAAGGTGAGAAACATGCTAATCTTGACACCATGTCCTAACTAAGTTTCCAGTGACAAGCAGTTTGTCAATCACAGCCAATCAGAGGATCTTTGACATTTAAAGGGATAGTTCACCCAAAAAAAAAAAAAATGAAATTCTGTAATTTACTCACTCTCAAGTTCCAAACCTGTATGTGTTTATTTCTTCTGCGAAACAAAAGATATTTTGATTAATGAGCCCCATTGACTTCCACAGAATTTTTTTTTCCATACTATGGAAGTTAAAGGAGTAGTTCACTTTAAAAAAAAACTTTTCCTGATAATTTACTCACCCCCATGTCATCCAGGATGTCCATGTCATTCTTTCTTCAGTCGAAAAGAAATTAAGGTTTTTGATGAAAACATTCCAGGATTTTCTCCATATAATGGACTTCAATGGGGACCAAACGGTTCAAGGCCCAAATGAGAGTTTCAGTGCAGCTTCAAAGGGCTTTAAACGACACCAGACGATGAATAAGGGTCTTAATGGGGCTCATCGACTGTTTGATTGCAAACTTTTGAATTCAGCAGAAGAAACAAATTCATAAAGGTTCAGAACAACTCAAGGGCTAGATGACCCATTTTTTGTGTGAATATTACCTTTAATGTACTGGGAGCTCGCATATGATGCTTAAAGTTCCCTAAATAGGCAACTGAATTATGTAATAATTATCTTTCCCAGACTCCCCAGAGCCAAGCACTTGTTGAACGTGGTCAACGATAACTTCGGCACTCTCGCCTTCTGCCGCCGTTGGTTGGATCGCCTCGGTGAGAGCAAATATTTAATGGCGCTGAAGAACCTTTGCGACCTGGGCATCATCGACCCCTACCCGCCTCTGTGCGACACCAAAGGCTGCTACACGGCCCAGTTTGAACACACCATCCTGCTGAGACCCACATGCAAGGAGGTGGTCAGCCGAGGAGACGATTACTAGGCCTCCACGTCACCTGTTTTTATAAATCTGTCCTCTGCTTTATCACATGAGTATTTGATGGGTAAAGGCCTGAGTAAGTTAATAAGCTGTGCCTTCTCGTTTTTAACATGCTAGTATCTGTTTGTATGAAAGATGGTTGGAGGTAAAGATGTCCCCTTGTTTAACCGTGGTGTAACACAGATGTGCCCACCCGTAAAGTGCTCTAGAAACATTTTGTAAATGCAGACAACAATATGGTGACCAATGAGCAACCCAGGAAAATGTGAAGTCAAAACCACACTTTCAATATCATCTGGATTAGGCTGTTGCTCATTTAATATTGCACTTTTTTTTTGTACACAAATCTTGGCCTAAGAGTGATGTTCTAGTTCTGATTCATTTTCTTTATCAAGTGCTGTTTTTCCTTTTCTGTTTGATTCAATTGCTCATTTGGGCTGAAAAAGAGGACAAGATATTATTAAAGGTGGGGATTTGGCTTTATTCATCAGTGCAAGAACAGACTTTAATGTAACATAGACCCTAAGATACTAAAATACTCATTGAAACATGCTTTCCCCTAAGAGCGGGCACTCGTAACAAAAGTGGCGGTGATGATGTGTAAACATCTTTATTTTGGCTATGCTTGATTTCAGGTAAAGCCTGTTTGAAATCACCTTTCTCGGAATAAAGCACATGCGGTGTTTTATTTTGAAGTACAAATAAAATTTATAAGAAATTGTGATCTGCAAGTTGTTTCATGTTTTTTTTTTTTCATGTGTATCCAAGTCTGATGTTCAATTTATGAAATGTAGAATTTAACCATAAATGAATATCTGTCTTGAAAATGTGTATTTTGTCACTTCTAGACAAAAATATATAAAATGTGATTGGGTCACACTTTTATTTTTTATTTTTATTTATTTATTTAAACAGGAATCGGGCCTGCCTCAGTATAAAACTGATTTTCAGCAGGTTCCTGTTCTACTGAACATGAATACCCCAAACACAACTGAACTCCAAGACCATCCAATAACAAACACACAACAAGCACACAAATTACGATCGAATATTTTAGACTATTAATATTTTACGAAAATATTAATGCGTATGTGAAAAGTTGGCTCATTTAAAATCATTTACAAGTTCAAAGATGGTGATCTTCTAAAATTAGATAACTTTTTTTTTATTCAGGAAAAACAAACGTAACTGCTCGAACGCTTTCCGTTAGGCCGGTATGTTATTGAGGAACGTAAGTAGGCTACTGTTTATTTATATATTTATAAACATATACTTTATATATATATATATATATATTTTTTTTACATCACTAGAACATATTTTAGTGTTTTGTTTAAACGGTCTTTTGACGTTTCGTTTGGCTAAGTAGTTGAGTTGCGTGTGACGAGCCGCGAAAATTACACAGAAATTTATTTTATAAACTCGACCGTTATCCTTTTATTGTTTACACACAAGTAGTAATTAATGTTAGCTGGAAAATGTTACACAGAAAATGTCACTATTTCTCATAACAGTCCAAATTTTTTCTAAGTTTTTTAGTCCAACTACAAACTCAAATGGGCCAGTCAAGTTGCGTCACTGGTCGACGAATTTTCGCGGTGAGGGCGAAATATTTCATAAAAGGATAGTTCATGAACTATGTGCACCCAAATTAAATATTCTGTCATTAATTATGCTGCGTTCGAGGATGGTTTTTGAGCACGTAAATCACGACTTCAAACCACGAATCATGACTTTGAAGTATTCCAGGCCACTCACGCCAAACTGTTACCTGAGCGCAAGGAATTGTGGTAGATAGATGTAAACAAACCAGCATGGCGGACCTTACGGTGCTTTTATGCACATTTGTAATGATTTCTGTCACCAAAGATGCTTACTCCTTGTTTATTTGAGGGAAACTGAGGAGAAAAAAACTACGCAAAAGGCAAGATAAGCTGTTATACCTTTTATTTTACTTTATTTGTAAATGTTAAATTTATCCTTGCACTCAATAGAATGAAAACTAGTTAACGTTATATTGTCCTAAAGTGTATTTTCACCGTAAACTCCCTGCAAAAACACTGCTGCCATTGTTGTATGAACAATGCTTGGTTGTTTTAACCCAAATGTTGGGTTAAAAAACGTAATTTCTAATTTTAACCGAACTTCAACTATCAACTGTACATTTTTTAATTGTATTTTTTAACCCAACATTTGGGTTCGTCCATATTTGACCCAAATTTGGGTTGAAACAACCCAGCATTTTTTAGAGTGTATATATATATATATATATATAAAATACAAATATATTATTATGTTTTCTCAGTGTAAAAACATAAAAACTAAATGACTACATACAAGTTTCACTTTGCTTCTGAAAATACGTTCAATGTTATAAAATAATAAGTAAAATGATTTTATCTCGCATATTGCCAGAGGAAATGATTTACTCACCATCTGAGACGTTCAGTTTGATCTCCGTGTGTTTGCAAAGATGATACATCTGTGCATTCAGATAAGATTCAACAAATTATTTTTATTTTAGGGATGAGTCAAGATGTGTAAAGATTTAATCCCGCTTTAAGAATAGACAAAATATGGGCTAAGCTTCCCTAATACCTCCATTAACAGAGATATGAAAAATATCCATTTATTAATAAAGTCTTCTATTGGATTTGATTCTAAAGCGACTTCTTGCACAAGATTTTATGTAGCGAATGCACCAAATAACATCTTTTAAATGAACGCCTGTCGCTCCCTGCTGGTTTTCCATCTCTCATTCTCTGATTGGAGGCTTATTGATTTGTGATTGATCCTCTGGTTAATGAGTCTTTGTGTTCCTAAAACGCTCATTACCTCTCCAGCCATTAGCATGTGCAGTGAAAGGTGTGTAATTGTTGCTAGAGCCATTTTTGTGTCTTTATTTGCTGGGTATTTGCACACACTGATTGATTATTCCACCATCCTCAGTCACTAGTAACGGATACTTAACACATATTGATGGAGGAATAAAGCACACACAGAAAATAACAGTAGAAACTGCACAAATTATGAGAATGAATGTTGGGGTTCTCTCTTTTTCAGTTTTATTGTGTATTGCTCATCAATTTATGTATTGAAAATAGCAGAACATTAACTAAAGTGAAAGAAAAGCTGTGTTATAAAATGTAAAAGATAGAAAAATACTTAGCATAACTATCTAAAGTGCATTCAAAAATCAGCAGCATTGAGATACATTCAGGAAATAAATATTCCAATCAAATAAATTAAATATTACACGAAAAGTCTGAATGAATACGTTTAAAACAGGCTACTCTAATTGTAACATATACAAATTAGTTTGTATATTAAATATATTCTACACATCAATTAAGGCTTTAAAATGAAAATTGTAAAATTTGGAGAGTTTATAATAAAGGCAAAGGCCTTTATTGTGAATGAAAAAACAACAAGTGGGTTCTCAAGAGTCTTGAAGTCACTGAAGTCTCTCCTGCAGCAGATCATGTGACCAGTTCATTTGCATAAAGTCTGCTCAGTCATGTCATGTCCAGGCTCTTTTAATGATCTCTGTGCATATGTAAGGCACACCCCCTGTCTTTCCTCCTGTCTGGGTCTCTCAATCTGCCCGAACCCATCTTCCTCTTCCTCTTCGTCACAGCTTTCAATGGCTGTTGCTCATACCTACGGGTCTTGCTGGTCTCTTGCGGTAGGTTGTCTCTTATCCCTATTGTCTCTTGAAAGCTCAAGGGGAAGTTTTTGTTGCTGCCGGTGTGTTTGGGACAGTGGACGGTGGCCCACAGCGGGGTCTGGACGCTTCCTTCGCTCTGAAATGGGGATATGGCCATGTGCACCTGCTCGAGAAGCACTTGTATTAACTTGCGCCTCTTCCAGTCATGCAGGGATCGGCCCCTGTCGTGCATCATCTGTGCGTGACCTACTGAACGTCGCCTGCACGGGACAAAGAGGAAAGATAAAGGAGTAGTTCACTTTAAAAAAAAAACATTTGCTGATAATTTACTCGCCCCCGTGTCATCCGAGATGTCCATGTCTTTCTTTCTTCAGTCGAAAAAAATGAAGGTTTTTGATGGATTTTCTCCATATAATGGACTTCAATGGGGTCCAAACAGTTGAAGGTCCAAAAGACACTTTCAATGCAGCTTCAAAGGGCTTTAAACGACACCAGACGATGAATAAGTGTCTAATCAAGGACCCTTCGAGTCATGACTCGAAAAAAGCTTTGTTCATTTTGCTCGCAAGGCGAGCATTTGTGCTTATAAAACTTAATTTTTTAATTTATTTATTAAATGAGCGATCGTTTCGCTTCATAAGACCCTTATTCATCGTCTGGTGTCATTTAAATCCCTTGAAGCTGCACTGAAACTCTCATTTGGACCTTGAACCGTTTGGTCCCCATTGAAGTCCATTATATGGAGAAAATCCTGGAATGTTTTCATCAAAAACCTTCATTTCTTTTCGACTGAAGAAAGAAAGACATGGACATCTTGGATGACATGGGGGTGAGTAAATTATCAGCAAAAGTTTTTTTTTCAAACGTGAACTACTCCTTTAAGTCACATGCACAGATTTTGGCATCCGACTAGTAGACATGAAAAAAAAAGGATGCTTTATTATAAAACAATTCGACCTTCACTGCATGCAAAACTGCATTTATTTTGCATTGGCTTCTTTCTGTTTCTTCTGTTACCAGCAGATGGCAATCTCAACTACACTGAACAAGCCTCGTCTTTTGAGATCTTGCAGAAAACATTCATGTTCAAAAAGTAAGACGAGATCATGACTTACTGTCTGTTGTTGAGAGTGTTAGTGGGTCTGGATTGGACCGGTATCAGGACAGTTAACAGGAACACGACCAACCCCCAATGCCTCAACATACTGGACAACTGAACACAGGAGACAGTCACACACTTATTCAAATAGTCAAATATTTTCTAATTTAAATCAATTGCATGCACACACACACACACACAAGTGTGTATATGCAATTGATTTAAATTAGAAAATATTTCAAATTTTACTAGGCATATTAGTCGACAAATAATATATACATATGTATATAATATGCCTAATAAAATTTGAAATATTTTCTAATTAAATTAGAAAATATTAAAAATTGTATTAGGCATATTAGTCTACAAATTATATATATATATATATATATATATATATATACTATTAAGTTTATTAGGAAAAAGATCAAATAAAATGATAATATAAAAAATATTTTATTAAAAATGTTTAAAAATTACTACATATTTTTAGTAAAATATTTGCCTTGTATGATTTGTAAATCTGAATGATTTTAGTTTTAATATAAAAGTATAATATTCTTTTCACCTTCTGCATGCATTTTAACATGTATTTGTGTGTATATATACATTAACTTGAACTATTAATTTTCTGGTAGAATTGAGAACTTAGAACAGAGTCAATGTCCAGTACACAAGTGAAAATAGTAATAGAATTATATCATTATTCATTAATTAACATGAGGTGTAAAATCCTAGATTACATTGCTGCTGTAAGGCTTGAACATTGATATACTCACATGTAATCCCTCTGCTCAGGAGATGTTACTGCAGCCCGGCTGGACGTGTTACAGATGTTGAAGCCCAACATGTGACTGTACATTCAATAAACCAGGAGCATCATCTGCTGCCTAAATGAAGCATGTTAATATGTCCAAACTCCTCCAGTCCAGAAGACAAACTCTTTGAAGGAATGAGCGCATAGAGAGAGAGAGGACCCGAGCGATGGGCGTCAGATTTATTGCACCGGTGAGTCTTGTAAGTCCCCTTTGCTGTTCACTGCAAACTGGAATAGACAGCAGGCGTTACAGCAGAGAAAATTAGTGCGCACTGCACACTTGTCTGTGTGTGTGTGTGTGTGTGTGTGCTGCACATGACTGCCAAAGTGTATACCAGACTGACAAACCACACACACACTTCTAGAAACGCACAGGCAGACACCTTCATTGGAAAGAGGCTGGTATGCTGGTCTCTCTCTCTCTCATGAAGGCCTCAGGTTTGGCCAGGAGGGGCAGCGTTTGACGAATAATCACCCAATGATCTCTAATCTGAACTTTGATTAAAATGGTACGTATTTGATACACAAAGCACAAAGTCAGCCCAAATTTTCTCCAACAGAAACGACAGTGCTTTAAACAACACCAGACGATGAATAAGGGTCTTATCAAGGACCCTTCGAGTCATGAATCGAAAAAAGATTCGTTCATTTTGATGAACGAGTTCGAACAGGAGAGTCACGAACGCGCATCACAGAACACAGCAAGGCGAGCATTTGTGCTTATAAAACTTAATTATGTATTTATTTTTGAAATGAGCAATCGTTTCGCTTGATAAGACCCTTAATCATCGTCTGGTGTCGTTTAAAGCCCTTTGAAGCTGCACTGAAACTCTCATTTGGACCTTGAACCGTTTGGTCCCCATTGAAGTCCATTATATGGAGAAAATCCTGGAATGTTTTCATCAAAAATCTTCATTTCTTTTCGACTGAAGAAAGAAAAACGTGGACATCTTGGATGACATGGGGGTGAGTAAATTATCAGGAAAAGTTTTTTTAAAAGTGAACTACTCCTTTAAATCCCGAAAGCCATTACAATGGACAACTGATACAACACCAAAACATTTTTACATTTGGTAGACGCTTTTATCCAATTACATTCTCATCAGTTCTTGCTTTCCCCTGGGAATCGAACCCATGACCTTGGCGTTGCAAACGCCAATGCTCTACTGTTTGAGCTACAGGAAAAAAAAAATACACAACATTATGTTGAACGCTTAACATTGGTCTTTTACTTTGCATGGAAATTCTGTGTGAGAGTTCAGATGAACATTATAGCTTACAACGGAGACCATAAGACCCTCCCCTCCTAAAACATGGGTGAAGCTGGGTGAAGAAAGTAAACAGCTTTGGCTGACCACTGTCCCAAGAGATTATGACCATAACCTCAGTGAAATCAAGCCTGTGGGTGGGTCTGCTCGCCTCCTAAGCAAACGTAATGGTCAAGGTGGTTTTGGGGAGCCCACAAAATAGCACCGCTTCATTTATAGGCCTCGGGGCAAGAGGTTCACAACATAACTAATGCTCATCAACTACAAATTAGTTCTGTGCGACACTAAAATATTCCATATATTTCCATGTTTATGAGGCAGTGCGTACATTGGAAAATAAACTGACTTGCACAACCATTCAAAAGTTTGGGTTTTTTGAAAGAAATTAATACTTTTATTCAGCAAGGATTCATTAAATTGATCAAAAGTGACAGTAAAGTCATTTATAATGTGACACAAATGTTTTATTTCAAATAAATGCTGTTCTTTTTTTAGCTTTCTATTCATCTAAGAATCCTGAAAAAAGTTTTCCACAAAAAAATTAAGCAAAACACCCCTTTTTTTTTGACATTGATCATAATCATAAATGTTTCTTGAAAATCAGGATATTAGATTTCTGAAGGTTCATGTAACAAATGTGAATAAAGTTTTTTTTTTAAATAAATTCAAATAGAAAACAGTTTGTATTGTAATAATATTTCACAATATTACAGTTTTTACAATATTTTTAATAAAATAAATAAATGCAGTCTTGGTGAGCATGACAGACTTCTTACAAAAAATCTCACCAACCCCAAACATTCAATGTTCATTACACAAATAGCTTTAAAAAACTTAAAATATGTGCAGTTTCATGGACTACTCTTATGATTTGAGTCGATTCACTGTCATGAATAGCACTTTGTAAAGATTCTTCAGAAATTTCTGCTTGTTCAACGGGAAAAATAACAGTATAAAAGTTTAGAAAATGGGGGGCAGAGACAGAAACGATGACAGATTTAGCATTTACATTTTTTTTTTTTTTTTGTAGACTGAACAATAGACAAATTTTGAATATCATCCAAGATGTCCACATCTTTCTTTCCTCAGTCGAAAAAAAATTAAGGTTTTTGATGAAAACATTCCAGGATTTTCTCCATATAATGGACTTCAATGGGGACCAAACGGTTCAAGGTCCAAATGAGAGTTTCAGTGCAGCTTCAAAGGGCTTTAAACGACACCAGACGATGAATAAGGGTCTTATCTAGGACCTTTCGAGTCATGATTCGAAAAACGATTCGTTCGTTTTGGTGAACGAGTTCGAACAGGAGAGTTACGAACGCGCATAACAGAACAGAGCAAGGCGAGCATTTGAGCTTATAAAAATTATTTTTTTATTTATTTTTTAAATGACCGATGGTTTTGCTTGATAAGACCCTTATTCATCATCTGGTGTCATTTAAAGCCCTTTGAAGCTGCACTGAAACTCTCATTTGGACCTTGAACCGTTTGGACCCCATTGAAGTCCATTATATAGAAAAAATCCTGGAATGTTTTCATCAAAAACCTTCATTTCTTTTCGACTGAAGAAAGAAAGACATGGACATCTTGGATGACATGGGGGTGAGTAAATTATCAGTAAAAGTTTTTTTTTAAAGTGAACTTCTCCTTTAAACTTCTGAGAAATGTTTTGTTCTTTATTTCAAGTCAGTGACGGCATCGTCTAGCAATGTTCAAAAGGGCTTGACTCATCCGCACTAATGTCAAAAGCCCTGCGTTTTTACTGTATAAGAAATTGTTTAACTGTCATGGTTTGAGTTTCCTTTCCTACTCCTGTTTTGTTCTCGTGTTTGTTTGTTTTATCGTGCAGCCTTGCGGGAACACATGACACGATTTCTTCCATTCGACCAGCAAAAATAATAATAAATTCCAGCGGGCCGCGGCACAGCAGCGCTCCAGATTTAATCTCGAGGCGAAAGTCGAGGAAAGTCTCGGATTTTTGCGGTCCTCTCCGTGAAATTGTTAAATGAAGAAAACATGTCATTTAACACCTTGTCAGTTCCCCCATCGACCACTGGCACTTGACCTTCTCAGCACTTGGACACACTTTGATACGACACCCGTAGTCAAACGCCACTCTGAGTGAATCGCGGGACTTTGGAGAAACATGCGAGCCAGCCACCCAGAATGCCATCTGACTGTGAGATTATTAAGACTGATGTCCCCAGCGAGGCCAATATTTTTTGTTCGACTGCAGAGCGTCGGCAATTTATCATCCAAACATCCCACAGGTTTGTGTTGTGTAGGTACTTTTGGATCTAGTCCGGCGGGTTTGATTCGGTGCCAGAGAAAACATGGCCGCCTTGCCAACAGGCCGTTTAGAGCTGGAGTTGTGAAAGCTTGTCTGAGGGTTCCAGTAAATCCTTCTTCTAGCAGGTAAGAAGTTTGGAAAGCGACGAGGCAGCTCCCAAAACCCCAACACACCTCCCACCGCTTCATTTAGGTCACTATTGTTCGACGGACGGACTTGCGTGTTATTTCATTCATTTATGCTCGCATTGCATCGATATACGAAGGCACCTTGAGGACTTCTTCATGAAAAGAGTATTCACAGAAACTGCATTTAAATATTCAGCACTAGGGGCCGCAGAAAGGACACGCGTGTGTTCTCAATAAAAACTATAGGTGAAACTTGTCAAAGTCAAACCTGATGTGTTCCTGAGCTCACAAAGCATACAAAGGACCTTTCACTTGTATCAGCTTTTATTGCACGATTTCATTTTGAATAATGTACATAAAACTTTACATCGGTGCAATATTTTACAGTCTCAAACTATATTTAGTGTATGCAAAGTTTTCTATAGCCTATCATTTGTTAACTTTATGTTTTATAAATAATAAATTTATTAATGGAGTAGTTGACTTTTAAAAAAACATAAAAACTTTTGCTGATAATTTACTCGCCCCCGTGTCATCCAAGATGTCCATGTCTTTCTTTCTTCAGTCGAAAAGAAATGAAGGTTTTTGATGAAAACATTCCAGGATTTTCTCCATATAATGGACTTCAATGGGGACCAAACGGTTCAAGGTCCAAATGAGAGTTTCAGTGCAGCTTCGAGGGCTTTAAACGACACCAGTCGATGAATAAGGGTCTTATCAAGCCGAAACGATCGCTCATTTAATAAATAAACAACAAAGTTTAAGTTTTATTAGCACAAATGCTCGCCTTGCTCTGTTCTGTGATGAGCGTTCGTGACTCTCCTATTCGAACTCGTTCATCAAAATGAACGAATCTTTTTTCGAGTCATGACTCGAAGGCTTCTTTATAAGACCCTTATTCATCATCTGGTGTCGTTTAAAGCCCTTTAAAGCTGCACTGAAACTCTTATTTGGACCTTGAACCGTTTGGACCCCATTGAAGTCCATTATATGGAGAAAATCCTGGAATGTTTTCATCAAAAACCTTAATTTCTTTTCAACTGAAGAAAGAAAGACATGGACATCTTGGATGACATGGGGGTGAGTAAATTATCAGCACAAGTTTTTTTTAAAAGCGAACTACTCCTTTAAGCAAACAAAGACCAACACTTTCACATTTTGAACAATACTTTTAAATATATACATAAAATAGCTCTATATATATAAACATAAAGGTTTGTATATATGTGTATGTAATGTATATATATATATGAAGAGTTCAGATGCAAAAGCCTCTAAATGCCATTTGAAATTTTCTTCTTTAATGATGATTTTTATCAAACTTGTATATTTAAGTTCAGTAATTACACTTAAATAACAATTAATAGGTAATTATCATTGCCATTTAAGTGAAATCACTGAACTTAAATATACAAGCTTGATAAAAATGATCATTCTAGAAGAAAATTTCAAATGGCACTTAGAGGCTTTTGCATCTGAACTCTTCATATATATATATA